TACAGGAGTACCCGAGTGCCTGCATGTCTGCTGGCTGTGAGGAGCAAATATTGTACTTCTCCACAGCAGCAATAAGGCCTTCTGTTGAGAATGGTAACTCCATGCCTGCCTGGGAGAGCTGGTCTTGCAGAGGCAGAGTTGTGTAGAAAACTTTGGTTCAGGTGTTCCAGTTCCACACCTTTCTCTAGGCACGTTTCAAAAACAAACTAGCATTGATCTCAAAACTCCTAATATTCCTCACCAAACCCATTGCTAATATTGCCCATATCTACACAACAGACTTCTTATCCTCAGCAATCGTATGCTCAAGCACTGCATTGCTCTGTGCAGGATGCCTTCCAGTCCAGAACCAACACAGTCACATCTGCACAGTGCCATGGGAGGTCTAATTAGGACCGCTGAGTGGCATTGGCAAGTAGTCCACCTACAACACAGCTGTGGATGCAGCTACACTGCTACTGGTTTAGAAGGCAGACTTCTTGGAGTAGTACAATGAGCCTGAAATCACTGCCATTGGGGCTGGTAAATTTATTGTGTGGACATGAAGTTTCTTGAGTATACATCTGCTCCACACAATAACTAAAAATCATGTCACCAGTTGAAGCAACGGTGGAGGTGAGACTAATTTTGACTGACATATCTTAGCAGATCAATATATAACAACTAAGGGTACTGTCTTCACCTTCTTCAGTTCCACAGCATGCTTCTTTTCATTTCCAGTGCACATGCATAATGCGAACCCTGAGATCAACAAGATGAAGATGTTTTATGGACAAATGCCCTTATCCTAATACAGCAATGTGTTGTTATTGTTTAAAAATACATGAAAACTGTTTTTCCTACTTTTTACCACCTCTTTTGCGCAAACATGTGGAGCTCTTTGATTGTGACAGGGGGCTGATGATCCAACCAGCCAACTCAAATTAGATTACTTTGTTTCACCCAAATGCATTCCCGTGCCCAAGCTCAGTCCTGATAAGGTCAGCTAGCAGAAATCCCAGCTGGGTGAATATACAGTGGAGTGATTCTCTCTGACAGCCAGCAGCCTGCAGGCTCAGTGGTCAAGTAGCCCAAAAATTACTAACGCAGCTCTACACCAAAGGTGGAGAAAATACCTCCAGTCCAAAGAGGCAAGTTGTTTTTATCAGGAATATTTGACTGACTTCTCTGCCCCTGCCCCCATGACTCCTATTGCCTGATAGTCTGATAGTGGGAGTTGGGGGTTTTTTTTTGTTTGTTTGGGGGGAGGGCATAGATTCTAGGTAATTTAACTGGCAAAGTTAAATTTACCTCTGCTACAAGACTATCTTCTTTGAGAGGAGGAACTTCTATTAGATTTTAATAGGCTGAGCAAGACAGCAATCCTACTGGTAAAATTTGCAAAATCTTGGAGAGCTGGGCCAATTATAGGAGGGGAAAGACAAGATGAAGGGAAGTTAGTGTGTAAGCTAAGGTTAGGCTATATAGTGTACTCTGCACTAACTCCTTGGCTTTTTACAGACATTACAGCTAGCAGTTCAGGAAGATTAGAGCAGGTTAAAAATGACCCCTGTTCTAAGGTAAGTTGGAGTAGGGGGAGGGGCAGGTGGGATGGGGGGTTAGTGGGGGACTTGGAGGTACTGGGGGGCTAGCAGGCTCTGCTGGGAGGCTTGGGATTGGGGGGGCTAGTAGGATCCACATGCGTATTGGTGGGGTCTAGGATGGCTTGGGATCAGGGTGGCTAGCAAGGTCCACCTAGCTTGGGAAAATTGGGGGGTTAGTGGAGCCCATGGGGGGCGTTAAGGGGATTGGGAGGGGGTGGCAGGATAAGAGAGGCTCTCCAATCCCACCAAAGCCCTCTGGACCCACCATCAGCTCTCCTGATGCCACCAAATTGCCCCCAATCTCACAAACTGCTCCCAGGGGCAGTTTTACTGGTATTCATGAGTCCCAGGAGCCTGACTGAAGTAAACTGGGGTGGGGGAGGGGCTGGCAGCTTCACTGGCGGGATTTGGTAGGATTAGGGGGCCTTTTTCC